CCCAGTGACCCTGTTTCCCATCCAGCTCCCTGCTTGTGGTCTGGGAAAGCAGTCAAGGATGCGACCCTGCACCTGTGGGAGATCCGGAGGAGGCTCCAGGCTCCTGGCTTCAGTTCAGTGCAGCTCCAGCCTTTGCTATTACTTGGGTAGTGAATCAATGGACAGAAAATCTTCCTCTCTGTGTCTCCTCCTCTCTGTATATCTGACTTTCTAATGAAAATAAATAAATCTTTAAAAAAAAGAAAGATATTAGCAATGAGGTCCCTTGAGCCCTGGAAGAGTCTGTAAAAGTGAGGGGGACTTTCTTCCCCTCGCAGTAGAGGTTTCCAACATGGGCCTTGCCCTGCTTTCTGGGGTCCTTGCCTTCCTAACCTTGTCTGGACATTTCCCCCCATGTTTAAAAATTATATGCATGCTTTATTCATTCTATTTATCTATTTGGGAGAGAGAACGAGGTGACCTTCCTTGTGTGGAGTCACTCTCTGGATGCTCACAGTAGCTAGAACTCCATCCAGGCCTCCCACGAGGGTGGCAGGGACCCGACGTCACCCGCTGCTTCCCAGGGAGCCCCTTTGTAGGAAACAGGCCAGACAGGATTCCAACCCTGGTGCTTCCATGGGAGCATGGCCGTCCCAACCAACAGCTTAGCTGCAGGTCGGACACACAAACGTTGTGATTACTTAATTGACTCACAGTTTATGGTGTGCAGTGTAATAACTCAGTGACGTATGTAATGTGTGACGATCAGCAGTTACCCTTTGATTTGGGAAGCTTTGAGCTCCTTTCTCCTGGTTCTTTAAAAAATAAGTAAGAAGTCATTGTAGGCTAGAGTCACCCTACTATGTTGTGCAACATTCAAACTGAGTTCTTTCAAACTGTTTTAACAGCTGTTATTCAACTTCCACATAATCCCCTATCTTTATTTCCATAATCACTAGTCTACTCGCTATTTAGATGAGATCTACATTTTTAGCTCCCTTGCGTGAGACCATGCAGGGTTTGTCTTTCTGTGTCTAACATATTTTACCTAACATAGTGACCTTCAGTTCCAACCATGTTGCCACAAATGACAGGATCATTCATTCTTTTTTTGGTTACTTTTTGACTGGATAATGTTCTCATCGAATGTTTATGTGTGTCGTGTTTTCTGGATCCACTCGTCTCTTTGATGGGTGATTTGGTGCACTGGCTGTTGTGGTTAGTTCTGCAGGAAACAGGAGGGTAGACGTCTCCTTGATAGAAACGTTTTGCTGCCTTGGACTAGCTCAGTAAAGGGCTGGTTGAGTCCCATAGTGGTTTCATGTGTAGTTATTTTTGAGGAGCCCCCGCACTGTCTTCTATCATGGCTGTGCTGGTTTCCATTCCCGCCACCTGTGTGTGAGGCAGCTCCCATCTGGATTTGACCCTCATTAGCTGGCAGCTGTGATGAATTTTCCCACTCAAGGATGAGGTTAGCCCAGTAAGACTGGGTGGAGTCCGTGGGTGACTCCACAGTGTGAAACAGAGACCCTGCAACAGGAAGGCATCATGCAGGTGTGTGACACTCTTGAGAGCGTGGCAGCCCCCTCAGGCTGACCTCAGCAAGGGCTGCATTTGCAAAGACAGAAATGATGTGTTTCTATCCCCTGGCTCCCCCTAGCTCCACACATGGTTCCAAGGTTCCTGGAACAGCTGGCAGGGTGAGCGTTCCCCACTCCTCTGGGGCACCTGGGGGTAAGTTTCTGGCCATATTGACCACCATAGCACAGGAAACGCCGCTGGAAGCAGAGGACACTCGTGCCCTGAGCCAGCCGTGCTGAGGTTAGAAATGCTTGGCTAACCAGTGGCCAAGTGGAAAACAGGCCCCTTCCCTCCACACACTCCTCTTCTTTCTTTGCTTCCTGGAGCTCTGTGCCACCACCCCAGGTTCCTGGCAGCGCGTTTGCCCTTCCCAGCAGTCTTTGGCTTGGATGTCTCCCGGCTTCAAAACCGAGCTTTTTCCTCCCAGCAAGCCCTCTCCCGGCTGCCCCAGGCTGTGGCCAGAACAGAGAGGCAGGGCTTGTTGGGTAGATCATGGTGAGGTTGTCTCCTCTATGTTCCCACCGCACTTCCACTTCCTGCCTGCATCGTGTGAGCTGCCCAACCGAAATTGGCACAGGGGTTAGAAATCTGTGGGATAGTTTAGATTGGTTGAACCAATCCCTAATGTGAACTCAGCCTAAAGACCATCACACCCAGGGGCTGGGTTTGGAGTCACAGGTTCCCAGCCTGGCGCTATCCATTCACAAGTCCCATTTGACCTCCAGGCTGCTTGTCTTCATGCCTGAAGTGGATTCAAGCCCTCACCTTGCGGGGCTGCTAACCGGTAGCCGCAGGGTCCTTTGAAGAGACAGTGTAGCTCCACTGTAAACTGTGGCACCCATCACACGTGTAACTGGCACACAAAAAAACATGGCAGAGTCTGTGCAAGCAGCTCCTCTGCTGACTTGGAGAGGGATACCCGTGGGTATGGCAACTGGGGACTGGCCAGGATACATAGTCCAGCGCTGGGCAGGTCGGGATTGGCAGAGGCAGTAGGAGGGTTGGAGGTGGTGGGGAAAGTCCCTGCCTCGGTGCTCAAGGACCTGTGTAGTAGAGAAGGGAAGTAAACAAGCCGAATTTCTCTTCCTGGCAATTATGCCTGGGTAATGTCTGGTGAGGCCGAGGAGCCCCACAGGGGCTCCAGGGGCAACTGGGGATTCAGCTTTGTCAAAAGCATCTATTGACTCCACCAATGAGTCATACACTTGGTGAGAGCGCCAAGGTGTCGTGGCTGGCAGCTCCGCTGGGGGAGCGGCAGTGGCTGTGTTTCCTGCATGGTGGTGGTGGCGGTGATGGTGGAGGATGTTCCCCCGAGCAGGCTGAGTTCCCACCCCCCATCCCCGGCCTGGCTGAGGCCACATGTGTTCCCGCTGCTCCAAGCACCAGACTTGGAGGGAATTTTCCTAAAACTATGACACAGAGACTGCAGATGGAACAAAATGAAGTGTAAGAGTGAAATGAATGTGATCCACCAGCTACCCCAAAAAGAGAATCATCATCACCATGGTGACAGGTCGGCTCCCTTCCATACAGGTCGGTTCAGGAGGCAGGAGGCTGTGCTGCTGCAATGCACACCCCCCACAGCAGGGGTTCTGCCTGTCAGTTAGTGAGGGCATCTGGGCCCAGCTTCCCCCTACAGTGCACCCTGGGAGGCAGCGGCAAAGATGGCTCAAGTAGTGTCTGGTACAATAGAGTAGCGGTTAAGGTCCTCGCCTTGAACATGCCGGGAACCCATATGGGTGCCGGTTCTAATCCCAATTGCCCTGCTTCCCATCCAGCTCCCGCCCTCTAGCCTGGGAAAGCAGTCGAGGACGTCCCAGAGCCTTGGGACCCTGCACCCTGGCTTCGGATCAGCGCAGCACCGGTTGTTATGGCCACTTAGGGAGTGAATCTTCGGACGGAAGATCTCCCTTTCTGTCTCTCCTGCTCTCTGTACATCTGCCTTTCCAATTAGGAAAAAAAAAAGATGGCTCAAGTGATTCAATTCCTGCCACCACCCGGGAGAGCTAGATTGTGTTCCTGGGATCCAGTTTCCAATCTCCCTGGATGCTGCAGGCATTTGGGAAGTGAACCAATGATGGCAACTCTCTCTCTCTCTTCTCTGTGTGTCTCTTAAATGAAAAAGAACAAGAAAAGCCTTGCAAGCGTGATGGAACATGAATGACTTTCGACCAGGCTAAGGCCCTCTTGCTGCAGTTTCTGCATCTCACTTTTTCAGTTCTTAAAGTCACAGGGGATGGGAAGTCTGGAGACTTTAGTCATTAAGTGTGAAGTTGGAATTGCCTCTTGCAAGGTTGTTTTTTTCAATGATAAGCAGAATTCTGTTTTCCTCCTTGTGTGTTTTTTTAAAGACCTTTTAACAAATCATCAAAATTGGGTGTTGGCTTTAACTAAATTAATTTTATTGCATCTTTTTTTGTCTTATTTTCCCAGTTGTATTATAAAAAGTATAGGAACCATTGAACATTTCTATTTTCCCTGTTTTCTATGTTGCTACCCATTTGCTTCTTTTAAAAAAATTTACTTATTATTTTTATATGAAAGACAACTTTACAGAGAGGACAGAGAAAAAGAGAGAAAGACAGATCTTCCATCCATTGCTTCACTCCCCAAATGGCCACAACAGCTGGAGCTGAACCAATCCAAAGCCAGAAGCCAGGAGCTTCTTCTGGGTCTCCCAAGAGGGTGCAGGGGTCCAAGGACTTAGTCCATCCTCCATTGTTTTCCCAGCTACAAGCAGGGAGCTGGATGGGAAATGCAGTAGACAGGACATGAACCAGCATCCATATGGGATCCCAGCAGCTGCGGGCGGAGGATTAGCTTCCTACACCACTGTGCCAGCCCCCACCCATTTGCTTCTAGAAGTGTCCCAGGCAGAGGTGGGCGTTTGGCTACAGTAGTTATGATGCCACATCCCATGTTGGAGAGCCAGGCTTTAGGTGCGGGCTCCACTGTTGAATCCAGTTTCCTGTTCGTGAGTCGGCTTGCAAGGCAGCATGTGACAGATGGCTCAAGTAGTTGGGTCCCTGTCTTCCTATGGGAGAACTGGACTCTCTCTCTCCTTCTGGTTCCTTCTGCTTTACAAGTAATTAAACAGTTTTTAGAAGCAGACTTCTAAATGTCCATGGCAGAGAATCCACCGGGGTGTAAATCTCTAGGCATCAATGTAGAGTAAAGAATGAGTGTGTTGCACGGAGGAGGAAGGGAAAAACGATCAAATCGACATGCAGCATAGCACCATACAGAGATGTGCCTCCTGCCCTTCTGTGTGTGTGTGGAGGGCGAGCGGGGGGCTAGAGGCACTGTGTGTGTTTGGGGCTGTGGTCTGGTGACCCTGAGAGGTCACCCCGCCCGGCGTTCAGCAGAGCCTGCGCGTGTGTTTGGGTGACCCCGGCAGGAAGCCCCGAGTGACTTGCGATGGGGGTCTCTTCTCTCCCCAGAACTGTCTGAACAAGCCGCAGCTCCTCACGGCCATCCGCCAGTTACAGCAGCTGCTGAAGGGCCAGGAGACACGCTTTGCCGAGGGCTTCCGCAGCATGAAGAGCCGGCTGGCCGCGCTGCACAGCTCAGTGAGCAGGGTGGCTCCAGACGCGCCCCCAGGTGGGTGGCCAAGCCAGCGCCTCGCGGGCCACGGCGACCCTTCCCCCACCCACATCCGTTCCCACTCACAGCCCCCTGGACCCCGCCTGGCCATCCATCTGCACCCCAGGTCGGTGGTAGACCCCCTGTCTGGGTGTCACCTGCTTTCTCTCCATCTTTCCATTCCAGGCTCCACAGCTGTCAGCTTGCCACCTGCTTCGAGAAATGGCTGCTTTCTCCCTCTGAGTCTCCACCCAGCAGGCCCTTGCTATCCCCCTCCACCCCAGCTTGTGTTTAATCATTTAACAGAGTATTGTTTAGAGCAATTTTCAATTGAAGTAAAATGGAATGGAAGCAAAGAGTTCCGCCACACACCTCCCCAGACACACCACAACTCTGTCCTACACCTGTTACTGTCTAGAAACCAACATGGCATGAAAATAGATCCTTCAAGGGTCAACACTGTGGTACAGCAGATTAAACTGCTGGTTAGGTGTTCTGGCTACTCCACTTCAGATCCAGCTCCCTGCTCATGTACCTAGGAAGTCAGTGGAATATGGGAGCCTTGGGCTCCTACACCCATATGGGAGACACAGATGGAGTTCCAGGCTCCTGGGCTTTGGCCTAGCTTGGCCTCGGCAGTTGCAGCCATTTGGGGAATGAACCAGCAGATGGAAAATCTCTCATCTCTTGTTATCACTTTGCCTTTCAGATAGATAAAAAGGAATCTTATTTTTAAAAGAGAGAAGAGAAAAGAAAGGGGAAAAAAAAATACATGCCCAGGGATTCCCTGGTGGAATGAGGGAGCTTTCAAGGTCAAGTTCAAGACAAGACAGCCTTGTGTGCCCCCACTGCCTCCTTTGAAGGTGGCTGTGATGGAACACTGTGGTGCCTTCTCCTGGTTGCCCTGGTAACAGCTTTCACACTAGCCACCCACGTGGAGAGGGATCCGGTTTGTACCAAGTCCCAGGGCTGTGGAGTGGCTGCCATCCTCCACTCAGTCATGTCCATCACGGGCTCTCTGTGGCGGGAAGTGGGCTGGGAATGCATGCGATTTCCTGCCTGGTCAGAGGTTAGGGTAGCATTTGCAATGCCACCACTGCCCCGAGGCCACTTCTGTTTTCCTTGACTTGACCTGAGCAAGCCCAGCCCTGGCCAGCCAGAGAGACAGCATGCTTTCCAAGACTAGGCTAGTCCGCTGAGAGGCGGGCTGGGCCACCTTATTCCCACTACAGACGGGGAACTGAGGGCACAGGACGAGGCTTTGAGTATTTGGTTTCCTACTAAAGGGCCAGGGCTCCGCAGAGCTGTCCTGTTCCCGCAAGGTCAAGGGCCACTGCTGTCCTTAGGAGCTTTGGTGACAATCCACAGGAAATCATTGAATTTTTTTTAATGGATTAACTAAAACTGCTTTTGTTTGTTTCTTATTTATTAGGCAGGCAGAATGAGAGAGAGAAAGATTTAAAGATGGAGAAGGATCTTCCAACTGCTGGTTCTCTACCCCATAGCTTGCAATAGCCATAATGAGATGAGGCTGAAGTTGGGAACCCATTTGGGTTTTCCATATGGGTGGTGGGAAGCCAAGGACTCAAGCTGTCACCTGCTGTGTGTATCAGTAGAAAGCTAGAATTACAAGTGGAGCCAGGGCTTAAACCAGAAGCAGGATGGGCTTGTCCAAACAATGTCTTAACTACTAAATCCAGTACCTACCCAGGGATCAGTACAACACCTCGGTGCCAGTGTCAGAAGCCTGTCCATTTAGACAGGACAGAAGCTCTGATTCTGTTATCAGTCCTTCTGTCTCCCCTTCAGGGTCTTTTTTCCTCACTACATGCTAGCTTTAAAAATGTGGCCAAGTTCTCTGTTCAACGAATGGCCACTCCTGTTGTGTCTGACTCTGTAGGTGTTAGACACCACCCTGGGTAATCCCGTGGCAGCATTGCCGAGGGTAGATCACAGGCAGGGTCCCAGTGCACAGGGGTGGGGGCGGGGGAAGGTAGCCACACATGCCCCTGGGGGACAGCTAGACACTTATCCCAGTTCAAACAGCAAGTAATGACAGAGGTTGGGGAGACAGGGAATATGCTTTGCTTTTCTGTTGGTGTTTAAGGGCATTTTCTGGGAATCAGGAAGATGAAAGTCCAGTCCTGGGGAATTCGACTTCCTCTTCTGGCTTCCATGATAGAGTCTGCTCTTGTTTTTCCAGCTTCCAGGTGTAGCCAGGGTAGACTCCTCCCGTTCCCATCCCCGAGTCTCTGTGACTACTCCGCCTGCTGGCCGTGCTTCTCATACATTAGCCTCGTGCTTAAGGTGCAGGCAGCTTGGCCGAGGCTCCTACACCCCCTTGATGCTCAGAGAGAAGAGGGTGCACCCCAGGGCTCATCTGCAGCTAGAAGCCCTAGGCTCTGATTTAGGACTTGGTCCGTCCCCATTCCTTCACTGCACCCGTGATAGCTGAGCACCTGCCACGTGCCAGAGACTTGCAGTTGGAGTCAGGTGTGACTGAGCCACTCCAGCAGGTGACTTTGCTTTTGAGATGTTTTTGTGTTTTTGTTGAAATTTCTTGTTCCCAAAGAGAACAGTACTGCTTTCCCCCAAGGCATTTAAAATCCTGATACTACAACAAACAACTAGACAAAAAGAAACTGCAAAGCCACTTTAAAAAAATTACCTAAAATAACCTGATTTTTTTTTTTTTAATTTGACAGGCAGGTTTACAGACAGAAGGAGAGATACAAAAGAGAGATTATCCATCTACTGGTTCACTCCCCAAATGGCTGCAATAGCCAGAACTGAGCTGATCTGAAGGCAGGAGCCAGGAGCTTCTTTCAAGTCCCCTCCTCACCCCGTGGGTTGCAGGGTCTCAAGGCTTTGGCCCATCCTCTACTGCTTTCCCAGGCTACAAGTACGGAGCTGGGTGGGGAGTGTGGCCGCTGGGACACAAACTGGTACCCAAAAGGAATGTCGGCACCAAAGAGTGGAGGATCAGCCTGTTGAGCCATAGTACCAACCCCCAAACTGCTTTTTTAAGGGTGCCTGAGCCGTGGAACGTGAGCTCTGGCTGCTTTCTTCTCACAGTGTGGGGCTTCCCGAAAGGCGGGGGATACAGTAAGGATAAGGGTCTGCTCTGCCAAGGACCCGGGCCGTGTCTGTCTCCGGGTAGAGCCACGGCAGCCTGTGGCCACCCTCTGGGACAGGAAGTCAGTCCTGCTCCACCCACGTTATCTCAGGTCGAAGGCATCACCTGTTCGCAGATTCTGTCATTAGCACCGACCTGTGCAGTTCAAGCAGCAGCTTTCGGACTGACCTTAAAGCATTTTAGAAGTGACTTTGCACTTGCAGCTAAAATCCACCTCCAACCCTCCTAGCTGGGTGCCGCTCCGGTGCTGACACCTGCAGAGGCAGAGGTGAGCCCCAGCTCTCTCCCTCCAGCCACACCGGGTCCCTGCTTGTGCCTTCCCAGGGCAGAATGTTCAAGGCCTCCTTTTGCATTCCCAGCTACCACTGTGGCCTGAGTCGCACCCCACTACTCACGCCACGGCCCGAGTGATGCCAAAGTCAGGTCACCTCATCCCCGGGTTCCTATCCCCCATATGGGCCCCGTCTGGTGTGCAGCCCAGGTGGGCTGGCCTGCTCTCCCCTTTGCCATGACATGTGTGATTCTGCTCCTTCTGCTTCTGACTCATTCCCAATCTCTCTCCATCTCGCCCAGCCCAGTCTAGCCCTGGTGGTGTCCCTGATGTTCCTCTCACCTGCCAGACACACTCCCATCCCAGGGCGTCTGCGTTGACTTTTCCCTCTGTCCTTCCCCGCCACTACTTCTGTGGTAACACCTTCCCGTTCAACTCTGCCAGGGAGATTCATCCTAGCTGCCGTATTCAACATTGTCCTTCCCGTACCACTTCCAGCACTAATCCCTATTGTTATTTCACTCTGCCATTGCACAATGATGGCTCACTGATTATCTTCTGGGCTCCAAAGTGGACCCATTTAGGGTTGTATTTTGCCTATTAACTGCCATCTCCCCGGCGCCTAATACGATACCTGGCACTTTACAGAACTGAATGCTTGTTTAAGAATCATTTGGGGTAGCGGGGAGGTACATGTTAGACCTAGCAGCTAAGATGCTACTTGGGTGGTCCTCATCCCACACTAGAACTCCTAGTCAGGTCCTGGCTTTACCCCCTGTTTCCCTTTGTTACTGTACACCCTGAGAGGCAGCAATGATGGCTGTAGTACTTGCTTCCTGCTACCCATGTGGGAGACTTGGATTAAATTCCTTGCTCCTGGTTTCAACCCAACCTTGTCCTGGTTGTTGCAGGTATTTGGGGAGAGCTTTCTCTGACTCTCAAATCAATAAAATAAAAAAGAATTATTTCTGGAGCATGTGCTATGGGCCAGTGAGTTCGCTGGTGCTGGGACCCAGCCAGCACAGAGGTAGATGAGTTCTGATGGGGACCGCTGACAACACATGGGGGAAACAGCAAGTCTAAGGGAAATTCCAATGTCCACAAATACTAAGAAGGCAGCAAGGTGAGCCTATGGGTTACAGAAGGCCCACGGAGGTCTTGGCTGGGCACGGTGGTCAGGGAACACTCGGGGAGGTGGTGGCATTCAAGAGGGAAACTGAGAAGCAAGAAGGAGCTAGGCAGAACAAACAAAAGCCCAGGCCTGAAGCTGCCATTGTGGCCGAGTAGGCAAAGTCACTCTACCTGCAATGCCGGCATCCTATAAGGGCACCAGTTCACATCTTGGCTGCTCTACTTCTGATCCAGCTCCCTGTAATGGTCTGGGAAAAGCAGCAGAAGATGTTTGGGCCTCTGCACCCATGTGGGAGACCTGAACTGAATCTGTCCCAGCTTCAGTCACTGCAGAAATCTGGGAAGTGAACCAACAGATGAGAGCTGCCTATCCGTCTCTCTAGCTTTCTGACTCTATGCCTCTCAAATAGAGATTAACTTCTACAAAGCAGCATGTCCTGTCCTATGCACGCCTGCAGGGGGCGCTCAGCAGCAGACACAGCCCTGGGATTCACACTGCCGTGGTCCAAGGCAGAGGCCCTCCTGAACCCTCCTTGTCTCCTTGCAGTTTCCTGCCCAGCTCTGAATGCTCCTCCGGATGGCAGAAAGTTCGGCAGCAAGTATTTAGTGGATCATGAAGTCCACTTTGCCTGCAACCCGGGGTTCAGGCTGGTGGGGCCCAGCAGCGTGGTGTGTCTTCCCAACGGCACCTGGACTGGGGAGCAGCCCCGCTGTAAAGGTACTGTCCTTCTCCCACCCTCCCAGCCCACCAGGCTGGACCCGTCCGTCCCAGGGGCAGCAGGGTCTGCTGAATAGAAAGGATCATCTGACTTTGGAACACTTTCTCACTGATTCTCTAATCCTTCCTTAACTGCAGAAGAGCAGCCCGAGTGACGGATCTCCCACCTCCATGCCAGGCCTGGGCTAGGCTGGTCTCTGGGCTCGGTGCTGAGCTGAGCTGGTTCACTGCAGGCCACTCCGACCCCAGAGTCCTTGCTCTCCAGCACCTGCCTCACTCCACTGTGGCTGCTGGTGACCAGCTCTCAGCTCACAGAGGACAGAAGCTGCTTGTGGCTGGGCAGAGGGACAAGAGGAGGGCATTCCTTGTGGTATCTCCACGCTGGGGCTGCCCCCTGTCTGCAGGCCTGTTGGCATCCTTGTGGGTTGCAGAAATGCAGGGGTCCTTCTGACTGCCTTGAGGTTTGGTATGTAGACTCAGAAACACTCCCGGAGGTGAGGGAAAGACATGCACAGAGTGGTGTATTCAGGACTCTGCATGTATACATAAGTTGGGAGCACAGGAACTGCAGGAAAATGCCATCTATACCGATGAGTGCAGAGTGAACCAAGAAGCTCAGGGCCGCCAGAGCTGCATGCGTGGTGTTGGCTCGCCCTTTCTGATCTCCCGGTGAGAGCCGCAGTTCACAGGCTGATCGCAGGTGGCAGCTCCCAGATGCAGCTGAGAAGCATCCATGAGGACACACGCTGTGCAGACAAGTCCAGAGAGGTGCATGGTGCATTTACCTTTAACCCTGAGCGTTCTCAATCCAAGATAACGGCCCCTGGGGGCAATGGCGGCCGGTGTGCGTACACCAGGCCATTTTGATTTCTGTGCTATGAGTGACTCTCCTGGTACTGGGTTTTCATCTTGGTGCAGTGTGCAGTTGCAGGTCTCACCTGCATGGCCGTTGGCCACATTCTGCCTCGTGCTCCCCGTGCACCGCCACACTGGTCCAGCTGTGCAGCTGTCATGGTTACTGTGAGCAGAGCTTGCCGCTCTGTCTCAGGACTGTGACTCTGCATCAGACTCGGGCAAACGGAGGGGGGATGCTCTTGGCACATGCCCACTTCCTTCAAACCGGAGGAGGGGAATGTCTGACTTATAAGTCCTGCAAAACCATTTGATCTGGTCCTGCCAACCAAGACAAACACAAATTCAAGAAATCTGTAGCAGGCTATTTTTTAAAAAAAGTTTATTTATTATTATTACTATTACTATTATTAGAAAAATCAGATATACAGAGAGGAGGAGAGACAGAGATCTTCCGTCCGCTGACTCACTCTCCAAGTGACCGCCATGGCCAGAGCTGTGCCAATATAAAGCCAGGAGCCAAGAGCCTCTTCTGGGTCTCCCATGCAGTTGAGGGTCCCAAGGCTTGGGGCCATCCTCGACTGCTTTCCCAGGCCACAAGCAAGGAGCTGGTTGGAAAGTGGAGCACCCAGGACAAGAACTGGCACCCCTACGAGATCCTGGCAGATGCAAAGCAATCATTTAGCCACTAGGCTATCGCACCGGGTCCTGCAGGCTAATTTTTTAAGTTGATACTTTTGTACGGCCCAGGAAAGATGTTTTATGTCTCCAAACAGCCCTTGGGAAACAACAAGGGTTTCCCAGCCCTGCTAATGTCACACCACATTGTTCCTTTGCAGCAGTGTTGGGCCGGCTGCTTTCCCCAGCGGTACTCTAAGCAGAAATGCATTTCACCCATGTGCTATATTTTTTTCTTTCTTGCTCAGCATCTGGAGTGAGCTTTCTGTGTCTGAAAAGATGAATTCATCAGAGAAGACAGCTGAAAACATGTGTTTTTAGGCAGAGAGATACAAAACACAGGAACACAGTTAGAGACAGAAGTGGCTGGCCCAAGGCAGTGAGTACACACAGCACAGCCACATTCGAACAGCCCCTCCCACCTTAGTGGCCTGCACGTGTTAGTTTTAACTGCAGTAAGTCTTTGCACACAGCTAGTCTCCCCCAGCCAAGTCCTCTTTTCAGCTTAAGTTTGCTGCCATTAAAGCCAAAACACCAGAATGCAGCGGGGTACTTAGGAGGTCCCTTATTCCAGCTCGGTAGGAACAGGAGCAGAGGCAGAGCAGAGAGAAAGAGAATGGAAACGACTCCCACTGCGGTGGCAGGAGGGGTGGCAAGGGGAATGAGGAAGGGAGGGAAGAGATGGAGGAGGATGGGGGAGCTGGCTTGGAGGCCGCAGCGCGTGCAGGGGCAGGAAGAGGAAGTGAGGGAGGAAGTGGATGGGATTGTCAGAGCTGCCAGAGGTTGATGGCTGGGGTTCTCCGGTAAGACACCAGGAGGTTACATCTCACTGGCAGACAACCAGAATGGCATGAGAATGTGAGCTCTGAGAAGAAGGAAGCGACAGCAGGTCCAAGATGGCGGGATCTCACCAGCCTCCGAGGCTCCTCAAAGCTGACGCCTGCCCAGAGGGCAGTTTCTACATGCCTGCTGGCAGCCTTCTTGACCTTGGGTCACAAGTGTTGCATCTCCCTGTTGGCCGTGCATTCACAGGACCCCCTGGATGAGAAAGAGGACTCTGCAAAATCACAACTTGCGTGCTGCGGTTCTTGAATTTCCGGACACTCCAGGGTCACTGCGGGCCCTGAGCCTCAAAAACCCTCGCAAGTTGGAGTCTTCAGAGACAAGGCTGGAGAAATCTGCATTTCATAGGTTCCTTGGGTATTGCTGATGCTAACCGTGTTTTGAGAAGTACCATGTTATTTGTTCTTGCTATGGCTGTAAGCAGAAAATCGGTTGAAGCTTTTGAAGCATTGATCATTTGGGACCCTGACTCATTGGAATGGAGACCTCAGCAATGTGCCAACAGGAGGTGGAATGTGTTGCCTGTGTGTGCTTGCTGGCAGGCCATGGCGAGCTCAGTGCTCGCTCTACACCCTGACCAGCGCTTCCCTGCCTGGGTTGTGGAGGCCAGACCTTCCCTGGAGGACCACTGCATGCACTGGAGGGTCCCACCTGCCAAGTTAGCCCAGCAAATCGGCTGACCATCCCCAGTTCCAAACTCTTGCCCTTGAACTTCCCTTCTCATTCCTAATCCACCTTGTGTTCCTTATCTTCTCCCTCCCCAGCATCCTTCCTGACCCTTGGTTCTTGATCCCTGACCTCTGTCCTAGAGAACCTGTCTGGTGCAGCCCACTATGAACTTCCCCCAAGGCCAGATTAACTGTCTAAAACTTGCAAAGGTTTGGCTCCAGGGACAAGGTGGTGGCCTCTCCACAATGAAATCTCAGTTACATATTTTTCATCTCTTTAAGTAATAAAGACCTGGGAACTGTTGAGGGCCATCCAAGAAAAATATTCATATGACCCAAGCAGGCTGCTCCACCAGCTGCTGAGTCGGGCGTCTCCCAAGTGAGTAAACTGTGTCTGTGTTGACACTTCTGTTCTCAGCAGGAACTGATTGATTCATGGGTGTTGCCTGCAGTTACAGCCTCAAGACAGTGCCAGCCAAACATGTCTGGAGAAACGGTGGCTCTGTCGCCTGTTGGATGGCCAAGTGTAACCAATTGAGGTGGGGCAGACAACAGTCAATTGGACCAAACCTCGACCCTCGGCAGCCGCTTCTGAGCACATCCGCTTTGTTTGCGGCATCAGGAATCTTGTAGCCACTATGTGTTGGAACCACAAGGGAGAAATCATCTTTTAATGACAGGAAATTCATTACAAGCCCCCAAATGTCAGCGTTAGTGAAGACTGCCAGCACGGTCCTAACGGTCCCACGCCTCCTCCCAGTCAGCTGCTCGGACAGAGGGTCATGAGCTCAACTTGGCGCAGAAACAACTGACGCATCATTGGGCCATTAATAAACGCAGTGGGCAGAGGTAGGCTCCAGGCGCCACAAATGGGAAGCCGCTCCTTGGCTTCCTGGGGTATTAGCCTTCCTTTCAGGATGTGAGGCTGAGCCCGTAGCCAAAGGCCACCTTTGATGGTAGAGGAAACCAAAAATAAAAACCCAAATTGAGATGTGAACGCACTTGTCATCACCATGCTGGGGAAGCGTATTTTTGTTGATCGTCTCGCCCTTTTGAATCTTCTTTCATTCATTCAGCCAACTTGTACTTGTACCAGCCCTACTCAAAGCACTGCCTCCAACACTGCAGATTCAGTCCTGGGCCTGCTGGATGCTGCCCCAGCTGCCTGGGGCTCCCGTTTGGAGCGGCAGACAAAGCAGATCCAGCAGCCACAGTCAAAGGCGAGGTGTTGGCATTTATGGTGGCTGCTGCTGCAGAGGGACTCAGTAAGCAACTGAGAGCAAGTGACAGGAGGTGAGAAACAGCTGAAGGTCACTCCAAGGAAGTGGCCATGACACTGAAAGTCACAGCACAGACAGGGCCCAGGCTTATGAAAAGCAGATGAGGTAGGTAGCATGTGGAAGATGGAGGAATGTGCTAGAACCCCAAGGAAGGGGAGCATTTGGAGTATTGAAGGAAATGAGCATTTTTGCAGTAGAGTTTGAACCTAACGAACCAGCATGGTTGGGAGGCACCCAGACCAGCAGCTGTAGCTGTGGACAATGTGTGGCCTATAGGCTTTAGTTCCAGGCACAATAGACAGGTGTTTTTTATTTTTATTTTTGTTTTTGTTTAAGATTTATTTATGTATTTGTGAGTCATAGTTACAGAGAGAGTGGATGGTGGAGGGAAACAGAGAAGGACCTGCCATTTACTGGCTTATTCCCCAGATGGCCACAACCACTATGGCTGGACAATGCTGAAGCCAAGAGCCAGAAGTTTCTCCCATGTGGGAAGCAGGAGCCCAAGGACTTGAGCCATGCCCTGCTGCGTTTCCCCTGACTGTTAGGAGTGGAGTAGCCGGGACACAACCCAGAGCCTGTAGCAGATGCCAGCATTACAGATGACAGCTTTACCAGTAGCCTCCAGGCACAGGAGTGTCAGGCTCAGGTGTGTGTGGTGCTGTTGGGTAGAGAACGC